CAGCTTTTATGCTTTTTTAAAGTGCTATATACACTTGACTTCCTCTGGCAATGCAATTTTCCAGTTCCAGCAGAAACATCTCAGGGACGTTACCCGAGGGGAGGGGTGAATGTTTGGTGACAGTCTTTTAGTTCAAAACCTAGCTTGTTCTGTGGATTTCCTACAACAGCTTTAGAATGCAAGTTTTCTACAACTGAATTTATAATTCATTTTATATAAAAAGTACTAAATTACAGACAGACTTCAAATAGCATTCATAAACTGAAATATATAGTTTTTGTTATTTGTGCTCTTTACAATTTACTTTTATCAAACTACTATTAGATCTAAAAGTTCATTATGCCCACAAAATGTTAAATCATAATTATCTCATCTGCCGACAACTCTAAGGTTGATGTATGTTGGGGTATAGTACACAGCAAAAAGCAGAAGGTCCCTCTACAGCTGTGTTTCTCAACCCTGGTCCTCAGTGCCCCCCTGGCCTGCACGTTTTCCATGTTTGCTATAGCACACCTGGTTTACATATTTGCATTGCCTCCTTAGAATGACATCAAGTGCTGCAGAAGCCTGTTAATCACTCATTCATTTAAGTCAGGTGTGTAGCAGCAGCGAAACAATGCTGTTGGAAATGGCAAAACATCCAGGACAGGGGCGGGCGCTGAGGACCAGGGTTGAGAAACACTGCACAGCACATGTTCTTTTTCGGCTGTCCCTCCTTCCAACAAGCAAAACCAATAGGTTTGAACCCAGAAGTATGCATGGTTTGTATAAATATAAAAGTGTATGTGTGTGTGTGTGCGTCTGCCCGTGGGGGAGATCTAAGCCTTTCACCAAGCACCATATCATTGATAAATGTAGTATACTGAGTAGCTCGGGGGTGTCATCACACATTCACATATATAACTGGTCTCCCAAGCTGTACTGTGAGACCTCTTCAAATGGTCCAGAACGCAGCAGCGCGTCTGGTCTTCAATCATTCAAAAAGAGCACACGTCACCCCTCTGTTCATTGAGCTCCACTGGCTACCGCTAGCAGCACGCATCAAATTCAAATTGTTAACACTAGCATACAAAGTCCGAGATGGTACGGCTCCCATCTACCTGAATCCTCTTGCAAAGACTTATGTCTCGGCCCGGCTGCTCCGGCCATCACAGGATCGTCGGCTAGCAGTGCCTACACCACGCTCAGGACAATCCAGACTCTTCTCATGCATCGTTCCACAAATGTGGAATGACCTTCCAAGCGCTACCAGAACAGGGTCTTCCTTTTTAATTTTCAAGAAACTCCTGAAGACCCTGCTCTTCAGAGAGCATCTTCTTAACTAGCACCTTCCCTGCACCCGTCCCCCTCTCTACTGTCCACTCCTTTGTTCCCTCCTCTCCATGAATGATGTCAATGTTGTTGTTGTTATTGTTGTTGTTAGCCTCAAGGACAACATGCCGATCATCACTTGTAAGTCGCTTTGGACAAAAGCGTCTGCTAAATACATAAACATAAACATGTTCCGGTAGACCCTCAGCAAACGGGTTTAAACTTTTATTCAAACTCAACAGTAAGAGGCACACCAGAATGTACACACACACACACACACACACACACACACACACACACACACACACAAGTATTGATGAGGATTTTCTCATCGTTTCATTAATTTGAATGAATGGATGACAAACAAGTTTAGGTGGTTATGAAAAGGCTGACATGATCTTCATCATAAACTGTAGAGCTACTTATTACTTCTGCAATAACTTCAAATTAACAACTTCAGTTTTATTGACTAAAGAATGACTGATGTAGTTGCTAAGTCATGATAATAGTTTGATGTAATGACTCATTGGTTTAACAGCACAGTGTAGCTCAGACTGAGTAAAAACAAAAAGAGCTAAAACACAAAATTGTGGATTTCTTGTTTTTTTTAATTGATAAATGAATTAAGCGTGCAAATTGTGTTGCTTGTTCGTACAAAAGTACAATATATTGATAGTGGTTGGAAGATTAAAACTTGTATAAGCTATTATTCAGTAAGCAGACACTGAAAGGTGCAACATGTAAGAATGAAGTAAGACTGACATCCCGTGGTCAAATGGGGGTACTGCAGCCCATTTTTCTAAACTAAAGGTTACTCTCTCACTCCTGCTCATTTCTGCTGACAGTCAAGGATCAACAGCAGAACATTTTAGATGACAAGCAAAGATGAGTCATACACAAAGAAGGGTAGATAAAAACTCGTCATATATGGTGTTAGCACTCTTGGGTGTTTTTACAGTAAGAAGCACTTGGTAATATGACTCTGTTCATCTGATGAACTGTACATCAGCAGGACCAGGAAAAAGGCAGTGAATATTGTCCAAGATGCCACACATTCTGCATCTACTCTCTTCCATCTCCTCCCATCTGGCAGACGCTATAGATCGCTGTACACAAAAACTACCAGACACAAGAACAGTTTCTTTCCTTCAGCCATTTCTCTCCTGAATCTGTAGATTCTTTTACCATCCTTTTACTATAGTTTTTAATACTCATTCAGTATGCTTATGGATGTGTGTGTGTGTGTGTGTGTGTGTGTGTGTGTGTGTGTGTGTGTGTGTGTGTGTGTGTGTGTGTGTGCCCGCGCGCGCGTGCACGTGCGTGTGTGTGTGTATGTGTGTGGGTGGGTATGTATATATGTATATATGTGTGTGTGTGTAAATGAACATGTGTGTGGGTATACATGTTCTTATGTGTTTTTAGGTATTTTTTATTCTCATTTATTGTGGTTGTTGTCTGTTTTTTAGAGAGCGAACATCTACCGAAGACAAATACCTTGTAAATGTAATTTTACTTGGCCAATAAATCTGAAATCTGAAATCTGAATTAGAGGAGTTTGCTGTTTTGCTGCTAGCTTATTAGTATAGTTCTGAACGACTCATTAAAGGGAGTCAAACACCACATTTGACTCATTATTTACTTCACACACACATTTCACTGTAATATCTGCTGGTGGTGGTCGGACGGGCCAGTGGCACCTGAGTACAGCAGGATGGCCTCTGTCAGTGTGTGATTGTGTGTGTGAATGGGTCAATGATTGTGTTGTAAAGCGCTTTGGGGGTTTCAGGTCTCTAGAAGGCGCTACATCAAATACAGACAATTTACCATTAACATGTTGAGTTGTTGGTAGCTTGCAGCAGTAACTCAGGAGGTTGAGCAGGTTGTCGAGTAATCAGAGGTTTGTCGAATCAATCCCAGCAGATAAAATGCACCACTAGGGATTGAATGTGTGTATGAACGAGTGAATGACTGTGTTGTAAAGGGCCTTGGGGGATTCTAGGACTCTAGCAGGGGCTATTTCAAATGCAGGCCATTTACCATGTTTAGAGCCAACTATTTGCTTTTAATTCCCTGTTAGCATTAATAGCTCAATGTTAGCCTCTACCTGATATTAGAGAAAAACAAAAGGACGTGGCTTCTTTGGGGTACAAGAAATAACTTTTGGGTTCCTCTAGTTTATTGGCTTTGGTTCCTTGTCAACTTTGCAGCTTGTAGCCTGTCGGTGTTGAATTAAATGTTGCACTGCAGCGCAGCCTTGCAGGCTCACATACTTTGTTTTACAATGTAACCTTCCTTCCCACACAATTCAGACATTAGACTGTTTTGTGATTTTTTTCCTCTGTAAAATTCTCACATCTTTCTTATTTATGGCCTTCACATTTATTTATTTTTAATTTGTAAATATATTTTTTATTATAATTTATTGAAATAAAAAAGTGGTTGCTTGTTTGATTTTCACACAAAATCAGAGGACTAGAATTAGGAGTTTTAAAGAAATAAAAAAATGAGTATTCTTTTTCGCCTCCCATAGTTTTCTTTATTAGAAATGACCTGGTGAGATAACTGATGACTTCTTTATGAAAACGTTTCTATAATGAGATGGATCTTAACCTTACCTTCTCAGGGTTTAGTGGTATGAGTGTCCGTCCCTGAGACTGGGAAATTGGGTCATACCAAAGACTTTAAAAATGGGACCCAATGCCTCCCAGCTTGACACTCAGTTTAAGCGGTTGGATTGGGGGTTAAATCACCAAACAATTCCCGTACGCAGCCACAGCTGCACATGGGGATGGGTCAAATGCGGAGATGTAATGTCACCGGTGTGTGACGATGAGTAATGGAACTTTGACCAAACCTTTTCCACAATAGTGAACTCAAACCAAACATACTTTATTCTTAAGGTGAGGGACACAACATGTTCTACATTAAAAAATAATACATTCAAAGAAATATATTCATAGTCCAACATGAAAGCTGAGTATGCTCAAGCAACTATTCATTCAGTTTTAAATATTAGATTAAAATCCACTAAAATACAGTTTTGTTCCACTATGTTCTGTAGGAACGTTGACTTTGTCTTCAAAATGATAACAAAAATGTGTGCGTATGTGTGCGTGTGTGCGTTTGCGTGTGTGTACGTGCGTGTGTGTGTGTGTGTGTGTACAATCTAACAAGCAGGATTCAAACTACATATTTCACAGTTAAACATTTTGCTTTTCCAGTACCTGTCAGTGTGAAGTTTGACAAATAAAATAAGTCTGAATGGATTTCGGGTGTTCAATATTTTTGAAAGAAAGAAAATCTAATTTAAGGTGTTCTAGGTCCATGTAGAAAAACAAAAAATGAGTTGACTTCTGTTTACATTCTTTTGTTTTTTGATTAGTGATCGGCAAAACGGCTCGTTTCCCCTTTTTTTTATTTCCAAAGGAAAATCGGTTGGCCGTCATGTACACACACCGTTCTAAAAAAAGACATTTAATTTTTGCTTTAAGGAAGGCCAACCTCACTGAAAAATGAATGAAATCTCAGCTCCTGCCACATGAAAGATGAATGCACTTTGTGTGTCCTTGCATACACACTCTGTTCCCAGCAGTCGTCAGGCATGTTTAAAGTTTTGCTTGAAATGTGTAATAGCATATGGACCTCACTGTTTAGCATCACACACAATCTACAAACCATAGTGTACTCACAGACAGCGTTTTTGTGACTGGAGTCTTTACTGGGCATCATCTTCACCCCTCTGGACTTCAACTCTATAGCTTTTTTCACTGCAGAAATGAAAAGAGAAAAAGGTTGTTTAGTTAATTATAAATTATACTAAATTAAACTTTAATTACTCTACATCTTTTAAAGCAGCACTTTTCTTCAGCAGGCATCTCATTTGCTGCGTGTCACCTATGTATCCAGTACAGCTTCATGGTCCCATCTCATCAACAAAGTGCAACGATGGAAACATTTTTAAAATTAAAACAGGAAAACATGCAAAGCAATTAAAATACATGGAAGAGTAGGTGCTAGAAAAGAGCAGAATCAGGAAGAAGAGCATTAACATTTATTCCATCTATTTTATCTTAAGTGGCAGCCCTGCAAAGGATAAGGGGGAAAAAAATCTGTGTTACAACCACACAACATTCCACCGAGAGACAGGCTAGGCATGAAAACCACATCTCCTCTCCCTCTTTTACACACACACACACACACACACACACACACACACACACACACACACACACAAACACACACACACACACACACACACACACACACACACACACACACACACGCACGCACACACAAACACACAAAATAAAAGAAGCATCGATGGCAAGAGCAACAGATCACTACCTGGGTAAGTGGTGATAAACCTATGGCAGGAAAGTCCAGGAAGGGGATGAGAAATTCAGAAAGACAGCCAAGACTTTGGTTCATCTTGTTTTGTTTTAAAAGGCATCTAATTAAATTTGACTTACTGCATGGAAACCAACATGCAACTTCATGTTATACAGCTAGCCCAATAAAATGATACAAGAATCTGAAAATGCATAAAACTAAAAAAGTTTGGGAATTACTAAAAAAAAAAAAAAAAAGGTAAATGGCCTGTATTTGTTATAGAGCCTTGTTGTGCAGGGGTATCCGACCTGGGGTCCGTCACCCACAAGGGGTCCCAACAAGACTGTCTGTCCTGAGGTTGTGAGGTAATCAATCAATCAATCAATCAATCAATCAATCAATCAATCAATCAATCAATCAATCAAAAGCTTTATATATAAAGCACCTTCTGCGACCCTGTCAGGAAGCCCAAGGCACTGAACATGGTACATGAGAGAGAGAGGTAAAAAAATTAAAGTAGAAAATAAATGGGTAAAACAAGAGATAAAGAGACTGATGAAGGCAGGGAATTAAAATCAGCATAAATGAAGGCCTAACTCATGCACATTCAGGGAATGCCAAGCGGAGGAGGTGCGTTTTTAGGTGACTCTTAAAGGCTGGCAGAGATGGGGATAGCCTGACTGAGGGTGGCAACTGGTTCCAGAGTGACAGGGCTAGGACTGAGAAAGCCCGGTCCCCACGAGTACGACACCTAGAACGAGGGACAGCGAGCAGGCCTTGGTCAGAGGAGCGCAGAGCGTGTGATGGGGAATGTCTGTTCTGTCAGGACAACAGCTTCAAAAGAGCTGCCCCAGAAACAGAAAATGAAAAGAAATGCACCGTGTATTCAAATCTTGCTGTAAAACACCATTAAATCTTACTATTCAATCATGTTGTGAAGATGCAACGTTTCATGCTGAAAGAAGAACAAGGACATCCCACTGTAAGTGCTAACTACCAGCAGCTTGCTTACGTGCATTCCACAGTAGCTGAGAAGTCAAAATCAAGTTAAATTAAAACATTTTGTTAGAAACAATTTCAGCAAAAATAGATAAATAAAACATTTTACTCAAGACCAATTTATATATTTACATATGTAAATGACATCCTTTTAGCATGACACTATGAATCAGCAAAATCATTATAGAAGAAGAAGAAAATATTATTTCTATAGCGCCTCTCAAGATAGAACTCACGAGGCGCTTCAAATATAAATTATTATATAATTTATAATAAATTATAAAATACGTTAAACTCTTTGTGCATTCAAGCGTAACAAGGTTGATATTTAATATTAAACGGTTGGAATCTTCAGGCCCTGGGGCGTCCCCCGACAGAGCTGCGTTGTGAAAATCAGAGCATCAGCTTAAAAATTAAATAAAAAAAATATAGGAAACTGTCATTTTTAGTGAGCACAACCAACCAGGTTAAAATCAGACCATCCCAACAAAATATCATACTCATGAAACATATTTTAAATCATTCACTGACGACTTAAGTAGTCATTTGCGTTTTTTAGCGGGAATGGCCTGGGAACAAGCTTGCGCACCTTGAGAGTAAACATCAAGGCTCTCAAGTTGATGTTCATCCATTTATGTCCAGAACTCTGCAGCGAGGCTCCTAACTAGAGCAAACAGAAGAGCTCACATCACTCCTATTCTAATGTCTCTGCACTGGTTACCCGTTAACTTTAGAATTCAATTTAGAATCCTGTCTATGACTTCCAATGCTCTCTATGGTCAAGCTCCGCCTTATATAACTGAACTTTTAAAGTCTTATGCGCCAACCCGAGCCCTCAGGTCCACACCCCCAGAACTTTCTAGAAGTTCCAAAGACCAGATATAAATTCAAGTGGATTTCCCCTTCCAGACTGTTGCACACCAACTTTGGAATGATCTTCCTTTTTCCGTGGGTAGTATTGGCAGCCTGGACACTTAAAAAAAAAATTGCTAAATTATTATTAACAACATTCACTCGGTTTGAACATGTCAGGATTTATTAGCTGCTAGATCCGAGTTTAGATATGTTCACCTGCTCCCTCACCACCTCACACCCACAACACTTTTTCTTTTCTTTCAGTTTTTTTCCTTTTCTTAACCTTTATAATTTCTTCCTTTCCCCTTTTTTATCTGCTTCTGCATCTTTACATCTATATGGCACAATTAGCTTTTTTTTTTACACTGCAACAACAGGCACACAACGTGCGTGCGCGCGCGCACACACACACACACACATATAATCCATACTCACAGTCAACACGATAGGCGTTTCATTGCACAATCAAAAACACTTTTGGGCTTGTCTTATTATTATTATTATTATTATTATTATTATTATTTATACTTTATCATTATCGGCTTTAATATCTTTATATTAATATTGTTAAAATATGATTGTAGCGTCCAGCAATGGTCAGTTAGGTACAGCCTGACCTTCCACCACCTATTCAACATCTGGTCAGAGAGGAGACACAACATTGCATGTGTTCCCTTTAAACAAGTCTGCCTTCACACAAGCTGGGATTCAGACTCCACAAGTCTAAATCATAACATTAACTTACTTTCCTCAAGGTCTCAGCTGCAGAAGACAGAAGATCCAGCTCAAATCGGTGCTAATGTCAAGAATGATTTTAATAAATCAATATGAACTCCTTCTATGACTTATAATCTAGATAATCATTAAATAATCATTTGTTTATGACTACTCATGATAATTATAGTATTATGAAATGAAATGCTTCATTAATTGTGCTCATTGAGCGGATGTTGTTTATCTACTAGACTGCAATATGTTCCCCATGTTTTGACGACAAGGTCCACACACCTACACATCCACCATAACAAGTATGGCTAAGTTAAAGTCCCATACACATAGCTAAAACCTATTACCCAGATCAGGACTTCCATATTAAAGAAGGCGTGTTTCTGAGAGTTGCCTTGGTAACATCTTCCTTTCTGTCAGCCTCTGACTGGCTGTTAAAATCATAACATCAATTCTATAAAACTAAAACCTGCTGAGAGATTCGTCAGTACTGGAGAGTTCTGGAGAATAGCTTAGATTGGCCAGCTGTCGCAAGACTCCATAAACACCCAAGATTTTTATTTGTCGTGAAACCTTTTGTGCACATGCAAAGCTGATGAAAAACACTTCCTGCAGAACAAAGCTGAACTGTTCACTTCTTAAGAGTTATTTCTGAGGCGCAAGCTGATTCCATCCTGTGATGCATGGTGACATCTCTTGAGACTGGAGAAAGTCAGTGCTTACGGTCAGTCTACAGGACCTGGGTGCCCTGAGGTCATCCGACCTCTTCTGACCTCCGGATCTGGACGAGGGTCATCCAAAGGGTGAGAGTGGAACACAGAGAGATTGCACCTGAATGTGCTTTGATAACAATGAACCTCATAGTTTATTGCAAACAAAATTATTTTTCATCTGGAGACGCCGCTCTCTGAGATTCGGAAGTTCTGACCAACACCTCATTTACACATAGCCTACATCACCTTTAGACCCATCCATTCATGGTAAATGCTTAGTTCACTTGTCGTGTTTTTCTTGTCATAAAAATCATTTTTTATTATAAACCTGACTCTTTCATGAATCAAAATGAAGTGTGAATAATTGCTTAATAAAGCAAATCATTCAAAACATTCAGCTCATTTTGACAGTTTTGCTTACTTTCAGCTTCAGTTCAGCTATTCAGCAGATTCAGCTTACAGTTTAAGCTATCCAGCGTTTGTTTTGATCTATGTGAAGCACTATGTGATTCTATGTCTGTGATAACTGCTATATAAATAAAAATTATTTACTACTTACTTAGGTCACGTGATCAGAAAACAGACAATCCATGAATTAGGAGATTGTTTTGGGACACCGCTATGCCTAGAGCTAGGCTCGTCGTCGTCTTCCTCCGCTTATCCGGGTCCGGGTCCGGGTCCGGGTCGCGGGAGCAGCATCCCAACTATGGAGCTCCAGACCGTCCTCTCCCCGGCCTTCTCCACCAGCAGGACCCCAAGGCATTCCCGGACCAGATTGGAGATGTAACCTCTCCAACGTGTCCTGAGTCGACCCGGGGGCCTCCTGCCGGCAGGACATGCCCGAAACACCTCCCCGGGGAGGCGTCCAGGAGGCAGATGCCCAAACCACCTCAACTGACTCCTATCGATCCGGAGGAGCAGCGGTTCTACTCCGAGTCCCTCCCGAATGTCCGAGCTCCTCACCCTATCTCTAAGGCTGAGCCCGGCCTTCCTACGGAGGAAACTCATTTCGGCCGCTTGTATCCGCGAGCTCGTTCTTTCGGTCATTACCCAAAGTTCATGACCATAGGTGATGATTGGGATGTAGATCGACCGGTAAATCGAGAGCCGGGCTTTCTGGCTCAGCTCCCTCTTCACCATGACAGATCGGCTCTGCGTCTGCATCACTGTAGACACTGAACCAATCCGACTGTCGATCTCCCGATGCCTCCTACCTTCACTCGTGAACAAGACCCCGAGATACTTAAACTCCTCCACTTGAGGTAGGACCTCTTCCCCGACCCGGAGTTGGCAAGCCACCCTTTTCCGGTCGAGAACCATGGTCTCAGATTTGGAGGTGCTGATCCTCATCCCAGCCGCTTCACACTCGGCCGCGAACCTACCCAGTGTAATGTGAGGAAATATGGGTTTTCTGTGCAAAAGGTCATTTGACTCGGCTGGGTCAAAGAGCTGGGTCGCTGAGAAGGTCTACAGTTCTACACCAGCAAGAGCTGAAGGTCAGAGCTGGATGAAGCTAGAAGGACCACATCATCCGAAAAAAGCAGAGACGAGATTGTCCTGCCACCAAACTCGACACACTCCACACCACGGCTGCACCTAGAAATTCTGTCCATAAAGGTAATAAACAGAACCGGTGACAAAGGGCAGCCCTGGCGGAGTCCAACCCTCACCGGGAACAGGTCCGACTTACTACCGGCTATGCGGACAAAACTCACGCTCCTCTGGTAAAGGGACTGAATGGCCCTTAACAGAAAGCCACCCACCCCATACTCCTGGAGTGTCCCCCACAGCTAGGCTCAAACTGGAAAAGCTGCAGCTCACACTTCGACAATGTATTGTGATAGATGGAAAAAGCTATAAACACACTCATTTTTGCTGATGTAAGAAGAGAGTCTACTCTTTATTTTTGGTAGTTTTGGTGTTTACATGGTCTTAGAGCACATTCTTCTGGGATTCTGCCAAAAAAAAACTGTAAAAATGCTCATAGAACAGAGGCTTTTCTGATCAGATAAAAGCTTGCAGTGAATGACTTAATAGAATTAAGTAACTGCAATCTATGTGCTTAATAATAAGGAAAGAGAAATTTAATTTTGCAAATCATGAATATTCTGGAGGAGATAAGTCAGCTTGCTTGCCATTAGACTAAAGTTTTTAAACCAGCATCAATATTGGTGTCTGCAGCAGTTTAGCACAGCTGATGAGCTGCCTTCAATTCTGGAGGAGAACCAATGATTGCTGGAGGATAAGATGGTCTTTAAAGCAATATCGTTTTCAGGGAATGTCTAAATTATTTCAGCACATCCATATAGTTTCTGCACTATGCAATATCCTTAAAATCTCAGAGATTATGCACAACATCTGAAGTTTTTTTTTTATAAAACACTTTCCATTTGTCTATATATAAATAAAAGGGTCAAGAGCCAAGAAGTAAGCCTGAAAAATTATAACATACCTTGATATTGAGCACTGAATCCTTTCCTTCTATGATTGCTGTCTGAGGTGAAGTGTATCCGCAGCCAGTTCTTATTGGATATCACCGGTGAGGGCAGAGTTGTACCAGTCAGCCTGAAGGTAAACATATAGCAAAATTCCTTAATAAAAATACCAAAATCCCAGCAGGACTTAGTGAAATCGGATCTCTTCACGTTTCATAACTGTGTGGAAAGCAAAAGTATTTCTGGCATGGTGTCATATTTTTGAGAACACACCAAAAGACGAGACAACTGAGAAAGACCAGACTTCATATAACAAGAGTCTAGCTGTTGATGATCAACATAATCCACTGTTGGACATGAGAGACCTTTGCATAGGGGACAAAATGCACTTTTTATATGTGTGTGTGTATATATAAATGCATATAAAGGTGCCGTGTACTTCTGCAGTTCCATATGATGGTGACAATCATGCGTAGACCGAAGAACAAGTATTTCTGATCAGTTTAATATTCTGTTGCAGCATGTGCACTTGGCTCATGAATGGAAGAAAATGTCTCTGTACTTCAGTCTGAGGTAGAAGAGATATGCACCTGAATGCTGATGCAAAGTGCTGCCATGTAATTACAGATTGCAGCATTATAGATTGCAGCAAGATCGACCACCGCTGTGAAAATTGTTGAGTATACACGCTTCACAAATAGCAGTAAATACAGTGGATTATATGATGCAGAAAAGAAGTGGGAATTGCTTCATTTTATTTATTTATTTAGAAAGTCAGTCAGTTAGTTATTCAATTAAAAATATTTGCTGAAAACTCACTATCTGTCATTTAGGGGAAGACTTTTGTGTTTTTCCAATTTAGAGACACCCTCCAAATTCTCCACAAGCTGATATTGTGCATATGTATGCAATGTTTATTGAAGCATCTTGTAAACATTAGGAAAATAACTCAAAACGGCTGAAATGATAAAATCAACTGGCTGCATGGTGGCACAGATGGTTGCTCTGATGCATCACAGCAGGAAGGTCCCAGGTTCAAAGCCAAGTTATGACATTTCTGTGTGGAGTGTGCATGTTCTCTCCAAGCTCCAGCATCTCTCCACAGGCCAAAAACATGCATGTTGGATTAACTAACTATAAATGCTAAATCCACAATTATAACCTGTGCTGTTGAGCAGAGGATTAATAAACAGCAGACCGAGGATCTCAGGGAGTTGTGAGTGAGTAAAATGAGAAACAGAGACTGCAACCTTTAAATGGAAAAACCACAAATATAAATAACAAAGACAAACAATACATATAAAGTTTGCACTTCTGTTAAATGAAATATGCTTAGGAATTACTCTTTTGTTATTTTAATTTCTAACTTTTGGATTAAAGCTGAAATAAGGTTAAATTCTTTATTTCTAGTTTCAATTTTAAGTTCTATATTATGACCGTTAATATAATTTTGAGTGTTTGGATTTGAAACCTACTCTGAATTGGCCTAATTTATGTTTAAGTTTGTATTGTGTTTGTATGATTTATGTATAATTTAACTCTCAGTGTGACATAGTAGATATTAGTAGATAGTAGCTAGTAGAAAAGGGAGCCCCAGTTCCCAGAAAGACAAGACAATGAATCAAGTCAGTGGAGTAAAAATGCTATTTTCTAATCCCGTTTGTATAAGCCATGGATTTCACATATGTGAATTTTAAAGACTCATTTCAATGCCAAGAAAGTTCTTATTTTTGAACAGGGTAAAATGTTATTTTAGGTTTTGTGTGAAATTAAGTCCAGGGCTACAAATGGGCATCAATAAATTGACGTCATCAAACCAGAAACGGAGACGAACAGAGGGAAAAGGACTGTAAGTCCTACAAATTTTAAATTTTTCCATCAGGAGGAAATAACCACCATAAATCTGGCCATTTGCTACATAGCAGCTATGCTAGGGGAGAGGAGCTTCTGCGGTGACATCATATATGCGACGTACCGACGTCTGATTTGAAATCAAGCTAATTACAAACATTTACAAGCTGATTAATCTCAAAGTATGTGACCGGTGTGGTCAAAACACACATCATTACTTTTTATTCAAGATACTGTACAACATATGTGTGATTCAGGGCATAAGGCAAAGCGGATTAGAAAATAGCTGTTTTAGCTCCATTCACTTGCGTTCATTTTTTTGTTCTATAGGGACCCATAAGCTGACCAGAAGGGAAGGAGACTTAGGCTCCTTATAGAACCAGCTTTGATGTGCGAGAGAGAGTTCACTGTTAACCCAGATTTTGTTTCTAGTTAAACTTCTGAGTGATCATTACTTATACAGTTATGTTTTTTAAAAACCTGCTATGATTACTAAACAATTTTAGTTGATTGTGCTTTTTAGCTGAAATAATAAGGGCCACTGATACGGTTTAGTAGAGATAACTTGGTGCGTTTAGTTTTATAACAAAGGGGAGGGGCCTAATTCAAAACTTCACTGGGCGCCCCACAAGGCCTCTGCAACGGATCCAACGCAAACTCGGCGGGAGGGAAGAAAGCAGACTGTTGTCGACATTTTCTCAGCAGCATCAAACTCCTTGAACGGTTAGTATGAAAAATAAGTAGTATAAATATCTTTGTGGGAACATGCAGCACTAAAAAGCTTGGAGGTGTTTTTTTTTTTGGTGCTGTCATGTTACTGTACGGTTTAAACTTTATGTATGTCTGTAGGCTACTTGTTGCCAGCTAGAGTCCATCTATTATTGTCAGCAGAATAATAGTTAGATTTAGTCAGAGGAAAATCGGGTTATTCTGTAAATTTTCTTCCTCGTGAGTCGAAAAATGTCAAACCGGTTTGAAATTCACTTCACCTCGTGAAGCGGAAAACTCAGAACATTTGGCTTTCTGCTAAACAAAGGCCTGCATTGCGGCTAGCTAACAGACTGCTCTTCGTGTGTAGCGGGTTTAAGTTCAACTGCTGTCGGGGGGAGAAGAGTTTAGCAGCCTGGCGCCTCCGCTGTGGAGGTGTTTGTGTCATCGACGCAGCGAGCTGCACACCACTCAAGCGCTCCATCAGAGGCGGGGTTCCACATCAGCAATTCAGGGTAAGTTGACCGGGGAACGTCTCCTCCACAGTCGCGTGTTTCCATAGCGTCTGACGAGCCGAGCAGGGTGTTTTCGGGGCCATGTCAGGAGCCATCCGAGTCCGTGAATGCAGATATGAACTCAGCAGCTCTTAAAAATGGCCTAGTAAAGACGCAGGTAGGGAGATTTGCTCATACCAGTTGGTTTTAATTCAGGGGTTAAAGTAGCTGACTTCCATTAAATATCATATAAGAGTTATGCTTCTGATACACTGAAACGGCTGTGAAGTCGTCACAAAATAAGAATTGCTAGTGAAGCCGTTTAACAGCAAACAGAACCACAGCAACCATTTTTGCTTCTGCCATGTTAATCTTTCGCGCTGTGGGTGCCTTTTAGCATGGATTAGTAATAACAACGCACTTTTCATGACTCCTGCATGTTCTTAAAAATGCATTAAAAGCATTGAGTTTATACATTTAGACATAAGTCATTAAAGAAACTTTCAAAAGCATTGAATTTTGATATGTGTTGTAAAATTTGTTCTGTAATTTATTTCTATTCAATTTTTCCCTAAATGTTTAATTTGTCAACCACAATTACTTTGATATAATAGGTTAACATAAATTTATATTTGCTGTATCAACGATTTAGAACACTATGACTACCCAGGTCAGAAACTCAGAACACAATGTTTTAGAGAAATGATTAACATAAAAAAATGTAATGATAAAAAAACAACGTAACATTGTTAGACAAACTTTCTTTTGGCCTTCTGAAGTGTTCTTTCATTTTTCACAACTCTGCTCGGCTTGTCATCAACTTTTACAGGTACTGCCACCTTTCATTTTTAACATCAAACTTCTTAAAAAGACTTTAACTAACCTGTAGGAACTCTGTTCTCGTTCCCCCTCACTCTCTCTTACCTATTAACGTGCCAGTTTTATGGTAACACATATTTTGGTTCTATTAATTTTTTGTTTTGTACAGCAACATTATTTTGGTCTGACAGTTTTTGTTGTTTTATGTTTTACAGATCCTTGTGTTGTGAAGATGCTGTGGCAGTGTAAGTATTGTGAGTTTATGTGTGAGAAAAGGGGTTACCTTTTAAAACATTACCGGTTAAAACACGGAAACTATGGAAGAACAGCCCCATTTCCCTGTGTACATCAAGAATGTGTGTGCACATTCAACTCCATGAATGCACTCAAGGTTCACTTAGCAAAGATCCACCAAAAAACCCATGGTACACAGCCACAAGTAACCTTTCAGTGTCAGTCATGTGACTTTTCTGCACCCTGCACAGAAGCAGTCTTCCTCACTCACCTGCGCAGAACACATCTGAAGGTAAATCACAGAGTCCAGTGTCCATTTAATGCCTGTAACTTTCATACCAGTGTGTATTCTACATTTAATGCACACAGAAGTAAAGAGCACAGAACACTCAACTGGAGGATGTTCAGGCCAGAAATTGTTGCTGTAACTAATGAAATGACACAAGAAAATAACGAGCCTCCCAATGACACCTCTGAATCGGAAGACGATGAGGATTCTACCAGTGAAGATCTTCATGATTTAGAAAAGCAGCTGGAGCACAATCTTGCTGCTCTTTTTTTAAAGATGCAAACAGTGCTACACATTCCAGAAAATACAGTACAAGAAGTTATAAAACAGCTGGTACAGATTTGTGAACTAGCCCAGCCACTGCTGCATAATGCAGTCAAGGACATTCTCAAACAACATACAGATGTAGAAGATTCTGTTGTGGAAGAATTAGTAAGGGCTGCTGAAAAAGGTAATGTAATAATGAAATTCTGTGGCAAGAATGGCCCCTTATCAACTACCAAAAGGAGAGCAGCATATGTGAATAAAAACTTTACAGAGGTTAAACCAGTAGAGTACCTTATTGAAAGAGGGAAAACATGTAGTGCTGTATATGTACCTTTGCATCCAATGCTACAGAAGATGTTGAATAGGGCAGACATTTTGGATAAAGCTTTTCCCATCCAAAAGCATGTGCAACACGAGTACAGTTCATACAGAGATGGTACATACTGTAATGAAAATCACCTCCTTAAA